AATAGGGAAGTTCTCTAACATCCCCCGGGTCTCTCTTCAAATGAATTCATCGCAGCCACTGCTCCACGGCCACTCTCTAGATTTTGTCATCTTCCCGAACTTCTCCATTTCGTGGCATTCAACTTAGTAATCCATTTCTTTGACCACAGCCTTCCGCTTCCTTCCTCTTCAGCAATTCTCTATCTACCATGTCAGCTCTACATCTACGTCGACTCCTCCAGCACCCTCACTTTTTACCTGGCTTCCTTTCCTTCCTAGACTCACTTCTCACCACCGTACCGATTCTCCATTTCTCTGATTTTGTCTCCTCACTCGCCAGTGCCTAAATCATCTGATCATCCCCCTTATTCTTGATCACTCCTAGGCGATCAGGATTTCTGGAAGTCTCGCTCCCCTTGTTGACGATGCCAGCAATCCTTTCATATATCCCTAGTTCTTTCTTTCTGCTATACTCCACAGTGGCATTCCACACCTTCACCATTCCCTTTCATCTCTTGCTCTAGCCTCAGGCTTCAGCACTCGTGGGAGACAATATATTCCCCATTAAAAGCAGGGACTATGACATTCCCTCAATGCTCTCCTCCATGCCCATATCAAAACTTAAATCCATCTTCATGTTATCGAATCTCTTCTCTCTTGCTTTAGAAGAAGAGCCGATTCCTCTTATTGGGGATCACTGATCAATTTATATCCTTAATCTCCTACAGCCTTTTCCAGAACCTGGCATTCTCCATTAATTCCATGCCTCTTCTATCTCCCTCTTGCTACTTTTCCTTTCCCTTCTTCCAATCAACATGCTCAAGTCTTCTTCATTGTTAAAAAAAAAAAAAATGTATTTCCTATAACCCCATCTTCCCTCAAGCAGTTATTCCCTTCTCTCTTTCTTTTTATTTATGGGAAAAATTATTGAAATTCTTGAATAATTAATGTTTACTTGTGGTCTCTGCATTCATACCCACAACTAATCCCTTAATTTGCTGCTGTGTACTTTCTACATCCATCACTCAACTGAATTTTGTATGGTCTCTTTAGTGACCTCCTCATTGCTTAATGTAAAAAATTCTTCGTAACTTGATCTAATGTGAAATTACTGCCTAGTTAACACTGTCACCACTCCTTCTTTCAGAAAATCCTGTCCTCTATTGTGTCTGGGGCTCTGTTCTTTTCTCAATTACTCTCTGCTTCTTCTTTTTTACACTGTATTCACTGATTTCTGTGTTCATTCCTAAATACTGGTCTTCTCTAAGGATTCACACTTTTGCTCTCACTGGTCACAAGAATTTGCAAACTGGTGGCCCATCCCTTTGGATGAAGCACATTATCACAGGTTTACCAGAGACTATCTTTCCCTTTTCTCCCCGACAATCTCTCCACTATCTATTGCTTGGCTCATTTTACTCTCTTATCTGTCTGGTCCCTGTTATAATAGAATTTTTATCCTAGGTCTATACTCTTTTTCTTATGGACTCCCACATTTAAACTCTTATTATCCAGTAAATTACTCTTTAGATGAACTCTCGACTGGTGTTTCTATCTATCCACTGGGCATTTATACCTGCACACCACTCAACTTCAAGAAATTCATCCTTTCTTGATTGTATTTCTCCTTTTCCCACCTCTCTTCTTTCTTTCTTTATTTTCATCTTTCAACCTAGATATAATAAACCCCTGTGGCAGATGAAAATTTCTACCTAAGAGGGCTTTGAGGAATCAGGTTGGTTGGAAGATGTAGTATAGGACTGATGTTTAAGTTGCATTTTCATGAAGAAGAACATTATTATTAGTTTATTCATTTAGGGGTCACTTTAGGTGGAGGAATCTATGGAGAATTTTTGAGGAGGGTTTTTAAAGTTCTCCAAACCATCCCTTGATGTTCTTACTGTGTGTGCCTACCCTGCCAGGTACCATGCTGAGTGTAAGGAATGCAGATAAATCCTGATCCACAGTCCCTGGTCTCATCACGCTACTCTCAGATCTGTTTCTTCTACTGAGAATTCAGATGCCTGCTTACCCTGATGGCCAACCTAGAAAGCAGAGATCCAGTTTTAGATTTTTCTCCCCATGTCCTTTCACATCCAGTTTATCACTAAGATCTGTCCCCTGCACTTTTGAAGTGTCTCATGTATTCATTTCCTCTTCCTCATCCCAAATGACCCTGTCTCGGTCTGAGTTCTGTTAAAACATTTGAATGTGATTTCTTGCAAGAGAAGCTCTACCATCCAGTTCATCCTTTGTACTGATGGAAAGTTTATCTATCCCAAACCACCAATTTGATTTGCTAAAGATGTTCCAGCAGCTCTCTCTATCTACCTTTTGGAGCCGAACTTTTTAGTATGGCCATCAAGAGGCTTGACATGGGTCTAGCATACCATTTAGGCTGTATATCACTCAGGAATCACTCTTTTAAAATATCCTTGACTGTAGTAACACCGATTGGCTCATCTTTCCCGGAACACGGCCCTTGAATGCATGGTTTCTTTTTTCTGGAAAGATAGCTGGACCTTCTCCAAGAAGCCTTTCCAAACGCACAATCCTTTGTCTTCCCTTAAAATTCTGCACTTTCCTGTTTACAATACTTGATTGCACTCTGTATTTTAAAGGTTAGTAATGTATACTTCTTCACCATATTATAAATGAGTATAGGCCGGATCTACCTATTCTTCTTTGACTCTATCTCAGCACCCAGGACAGGGCTAACATTTATTCATTCATTTATTCACCATTCATTTATTTTTTCACTTAACAAGCAGTAATTAATTACTTAATTACTAGACATGAGCTCTATACTAGGCATATATTTGCTGAATGAATGAATTGAGAGCCTGGGAGTGGTTAGATCTCAGCTAAATAAAGGAGTCAAAATCTGAAAAAAAAATCTGGCTCCTGATTTTTGACTGTGGTTTGACTGTGTCTGAGCTGCACTGAGCATCCACCCAATAAACTTACCCTTCTCACTGACTCACTGTAATATCTTGGCTCAGTAGTTGGCTACCTTGGGTCCTACTCTGCAGAAGGGAAATGATAAATCTCTGAATCTCTTTATAATTCTGAATTTCATTTGTTCCATCACTTCTTCACTGTCAAGGCAGCTGCAAAGGAAGGAAATACCTCAGTTTTGGAAATTCCCCCTTGGAAGGGACACCAGACTTCAGGCTCACAGCCAAGCATTTGCATTATTTTACTTCATAGTCATAACAGTCTTGTAGAACAAGCAGGTCAGGGACAATCATGCCATCATATAGAGAGGTCAAATGACCTGCCCAAGGTTAAATGCAAGAAGGTGATGGAGCAAGGATTGGAAAGCAGGTGTTCTGCATCTACAACCAGCCCCGTTTGAACTTTCCAATATTGCTTTGCCATGTTTCTTGGCAAGAAAGTGTTGTCCAGACACCCAGATATGAAACCCAGTGAGGTCTGCAGTAAGGTCTGCTCTCACATGTCGGCCAAAACCACATCCTCTTCCCTCCTGCTTCTCAAATGTGTTTTGCAATGTAATTCTTATCTTCGCTGCTCTGGGCCAAATATCCAGACTCTGGTTCCCTTTCTGAACATCAGCTTTTGCTGTTCATTTTTCCTTAGAGTCGGTTTTCTAGTTCTCCATTTTTCTCCTTTCATTTCATTTTTATCTCTGGGGAATTTGTCATCATCTAAACTGGCAGTTTCAATTACATCAGACATCCCATTTTGAAGGATGATACCAATTTTCCAGGAGTGATATTAGTTTCTAGGCCTTCTAGGAAAAAGATAGTCAGAAATAGAGCCTTTCTCTGCCCTATTATTTGCATTTTGCAAAGCAAACAGGTCTTCCACCTTGCTGAGGGCTGTGGGATTCTTAGCCACACCTTTGGGGGAAATCAAGAGGCAACTCTGACTCTAGACCCTCACTTTTTGCTTGTGGTCTTTTCCCCATGCTGACTAGAGATCAGGGTTCCTAATACACTATCAGCTTAAGAGACTACCCTTCCACCAGTGGGTTTAGCCACAGGTAAAAAGGTCGGTTGACACATGCATTGGATGTCTAGGTTGAGACTGAGAAGGCATGGAAGAGACAATGGCACCCAAGCCACCTTTTGCAGATTGGAGATCTTGAAGCATAGAGAAGGCAGAGACTTGCTCAAAGTCACACAGCAAATTAGTGACCAGGGCTAGGACTGAAATTTAGGTCTCTGACTCCTTTTCTGGAAAGGAGTCTTTCCTCTACCACAAGGTTCTTGGAGTACCAGGTGCCTCTGGTAAGGGATTTGCAGAATCTCCAAGCATGAATTCTGGATAAATCTCTTGCAGTCACTCCTACTCATACCTTTAAAATTGAAGACGTTGCCTGGAGAATGTCATATCTCTGGGTTACACACTGGCCACAGAGCTCTTTATAGACACGATTTCAACCATCTGAAGCATTAGTGAGGGAAAATGAGGCATGGGCATGTTAACTGTTGGACATTCATATTTCTGTTCCAAAGCTACAGGGACGCTTGCTTGTGCCCACAATGTGGAGAACTCTCAAAGACCAGTTCCCAAAGAAGAGCCATCCTCAGGATGCCTTTTCCATTATTGCATTAAAGGTATGTTTCATTTTCTAGTTGATCAAGCTCATTTGCATATTTTTTCTCATGTCTGGTTTCTACCCAGCCTGCTGTAATAGGTACTCTATTTTCCCATTTTATAGTTGAGAACCTAAGGTTCAGAGAAGTTAAGCACCTCGGCCAGGGACACATGGATAGCAAACAGCAGATGCAAATCTCTCTAACTTTGGGGGTTTTTGCTATACTGCTCTCATACACAAACTCATAATCATTAAAGTTATCTGTAATAAGCATCTCCAACAGTCTTGCCTCTTTAGATCCTTACAACAATCTTGTGGATTCACCCTCATTGAGATTCGGTGATTAAGTAACTGAACGGGATCACACATTTAGATCACCTTTCACTGCCCAGCCATGCCTGCCATGCCTCCCATGCCCAGGTCCCACAAAGAAATCCCCAGCTACGCCCCAGGGAATCCTACAGGCAGATGGCCAAGGCCAGAACAGTGATCAGGATCCTGCTTCCTGCCCAGAGGTCTCTCTATCCTCACTGACACCATCTGGCCCTTTCAAAGAGAAGAGGGATTTCTAGTCTGAGCAGACTGAAGTTTTCTGTCACCCTCATTATTCAGTACCTCTACTTTCCCTAGAAGGAAACTAAGACAGATGTGATAACCAATGTTGATCAGACAGCAGTGACATTCTGAGAGAAAGATTTTATTCATTTATTTATTCATTCATTCATTTATTCACTCACTCACTTGTTCTTCCTCTCATCCTTTAACAAAGTTTTATCAGAGGTCTATTCTGCGTAAGACAATATGCTATCTGCTTGCAACACCCAGGAACTGATAAAACATGGTACATGATTTCAA